TGACAAACCTCCATCAGTTAGCAGTGATAGAGGAGAAGGAGGGAGGGAGAGAAAGAAGAAGAGAAAGGTTGTTGTTCTTTGCATGTCTTTTGTCTACTGATAGACCTGATGAGGTGACTAGTCAAGTGTACCAGTTTGGTTGGTGTCTACAGTGTACTAGTAAACATCATTTCTTTCCTCCTCGATACTTCCACGTCCTCTCATTACGTCTTGCTTACAAAATGGCTCTACCGCAAGAAGATAAACAGTTAAATCGATGTTGTACATTTTGGAAGAACGGACTTTATTGGTCTAATGGTCATGGTGTAGGATCACTGGTAGAGATTGTGGACGAGAGCCAGTGTGTACTAGTAATGATGTCCTTTAAACAACGCATTATGATGTCAGTAGGAAGAGAAGTGATAGAAGAGGTAATGAGTGTTTATAAAGAATCCTGTCCCAGTCTAGAGGTAAAAAAGTTAGTTATTGATCCTAAAGAACTAGCCTATCCTGTGAATACACCAAGAGAAAGGACAGTGTATAGTGTAAAAGATATACTGTCTGCTGTTGAGAAGGGAGGCGATTGCTTAGTTCATGATAATGGAACAAGTACAGATTTAAAGGAGATCCTACCTGATGAATCATTATCAGATATTAGTAACCTGTCACTATTAAGAGGACGTGATATTAAGGTAAGAATTAACAAACACAAACTGTTTGATCCATTGATACAAGCACTAATAATCAAAAGGTCATTTCTTAAAAGTAACTTTATTTATTTTCAAATTACTCAGTCTTTGTCATAATTGTGGGTTGTCATTGTGTTTCTTTTACTACTAATAATATATACTTGTACATCTGTTAAACTCACCTTTCAGCAATACACTACTGATGTATATCACCTTGATAAACAAGCACAGTGACAAATATTATTATTATTATTATTATTATTATTATTATTATTATTATTATTATTGTATAGAAAGTGATTGGAATAACTGAAGAATTCAAGACACCATTGACTGCAGTAAAGCTAGGTATGTTATAATATATGCTATCACATATGTCAAGTAGTAGTAGTGTATAGTATAGTACATTATAGTGACTGTGGTTTAATAATGTTTGTATCATATTTATACTTTTATATAGAGACAACAATTCAAAATGACAAACCAGCTACTAATTACTCACCCACACAGATCAGTGAGTACAATGATGATCAGCAAAAAGGTATAACCACTCACTGTCACTAGTTTTACATTATTTATTTATATTTATTTATAGTTATATTGACTATCAGGGATCTGGTAGATATTGTACGAGTGTTAAAAGATGGTTCCTTTCAAACTATCAAATGGTTTGATCTTGGTCTCTACTTGGGTCTGATTCATAATGATCTCAAGGTTATTGAGACTAACTATCCACGAGATGCTGAGCGATGTCTTAGAGAATGTTTAGCAAAATGGCTTACAGATGATATTGAAGCAACATGGAACAAATTAGCTATTGCTGTAGGTAAAGTAGGAGGAAAGGTATTAGAAATACTCCTCATCATCATTATTTTACTATATTGTGTGTGTAGGGAGATGGAGGAGTAAAGTGTAATAATAATAAAGATAAAGGAACAACAACCAACACTTTGAATGAATCTCAGGAACATGGAAGTACTTCAATAGAGAAAGGACAGTCTGGTAAGATATGTACACATCATCCATTAACAAACATTATTATAATTATTGTACATTGAACTATACAAACATTATGTGTATGTATCAAGTATTATTGGTATTTAATATAATGTATAGATATTGATGGACTTACTATTAATGATGAAGTACAAGAAACACAGACTAATAAACTGCTTGGTAAGCTAATAATCATCAGTAGTGGGAGTGTAGACTGTACAGTGTATACACACATTATTAATTATTATTTTTATAGATATTAAAGATCTTGATATTGTCATTAAAGAATTAAAATCAGATCAACACTTGCCTTGTTCTATATGGCATGAACTAGGTCTACAGTTAGGATTATATGATCCTAGACTAGTGGATATAGACAAGAAGAATAGAGGAGATCCAGTGGAGTGTTTCCGTGAGTGTATGTCTGCCTGGTTAAGAGGAGAAGATAAAGTGAGAGAGAAAGGAGGTCCCAGTTGGTCATCATTAGCTACAGCACTGGATGCAATAGAAGAGAAATCTATTGCTAGTTACATTAGAAATTGTACTCATTCCTCATAGCTAGTTTAATGTGTTCATTCATTGTCAGTGTACTAATTAGCTGAGCTGTCATCATGTACTGATTTCCCTATCTCTATAACTAGAACTATTACTGATAGCATCAAACTATGTTTATTATTATAACTAATGTTTATCACCTAATGAATATTACATGTACTGCTGTAAAAGGAAACCTAATTATATTTATATACTTGTTGTTGCATTCGAGCATGATCTGGGCACATGCACAGAATGTGCATTAAAAGTTTGTAGATTACCATCTTACAAATTTTAACAGATTAAAAGAAAAGTACAGAAACAGGAAGAAATTATGAAAATAAGAAATTACGAAGAAAGAAAAGGAGAGAGAGTTTATTTAAGTTGTTTTAGTGACGTGTGTTGTTGCCTTCCCCAGTGCTACTTGTCTTGCATTCATTCCAAACTCCAGTGTACTGATAGTCTCAGGTACATTAGCATCCAATGGACTCACATTAACAAACATACACGCCTACAGTAACAAAACACATACCAGTATCAGTATATTATAGACTATGGAAGACCATCAATAAATGAAAATAATAAATAATGAGATTCATGACTGATCCCAATAACTCATTACTCATGATGGATCAGTTAGTGTATACTAGTATTAGTGAGTGCATGCAGTTAACAGTTAGTGGAGTAGAGTAGAGTGTGTGTGGGTTTAATACTTTAGCATCTCCTCCTAGACACTGTTGGAGGAGGTGAGTCAGTTTTGAGTTTCTGAACGGAATGTGGAGCGAGTTCTCTCTTATTGAGGAAAACACCTAATGATAATAATAATAATAATAATAATAATAATAATAATAATAATAATAATAATAATAATAATAATAATAATAATAATAATAATAATAATAATAATAATAATAAATAGTCATTATTATAATCTTCTCTTTCCTTACTTGTCCTAAAGCTGATAATGATTTATTGATGGCAGCTGCTTCCACTAGTCTCAGTCCAGTTGCTTCACTCCTTGATATTCTCTCTGATCCTGCCAGATCAACTAGTGTGAGACTACCTCTAGTGGTAGTCTTGGATACTGAATTATAAGAAACCAGGACCAATCTGAGGAGGAGATGAGACCTTGAACTGATGAGGGAGAGAGAGAGAGAGGAATATAGTGAGATATGGCATTAATGAGTAGTGACTGTATTGTACTGTCATTCAGTAATAATGATACAAAATAATACAAGCATTTTTAAACAGGAGATTAATAAGTAATTGATCCCTGGGCTACTTATTAACCTCCTGGGGATCACTTGATGGTAAGTGAGTTATTTATAAACCTGAAATCAAGTCCAATCTGATTTCTCAGTTACAACTATATGGATGGTATAGTATTATTGCTGTACCTGTTAGTGTTCATTTTAGTTGATGCTGTTGTTCTGTTCTTCTCTCCAACTGTCATAACTTTAATAACATCATCAGTGGAACATACTTCAATCTCTGT